TGCCCCCCCCCCCCCCCCCCCTTTTCCAAAAAAAAAATCTCTGTATTAAGTTAATCTTTCAATTTTCATGAAATTTTTAGGAATGAAAATTGCTAAGAAAATTAGAAAAATTTTAAATTGTAAGCTCCGTTGGCTGTCAAAATTCGTCCCAAACTATAGAAGGTAATGTATCAGCAATTAAAGTATAGACAAGTAAAGTGTTGTCAGTTAAATTAATGGAGATAATCTAGGGTGGAACTATTCCCACCTCTTAAATCTCATTTTTCACCCCTATTTAATCATCTTACTTCAAATTATTAAGTTAATCACATCTTTACCCATCTCATTAGTTACTAAACCCAATCCGTCTAATTAAAAAGTAAATTCATCCAATTTTATTTCAACCTACTATATGGGCAATGATTAAAATTTTATTTTGATTTATTATTTGGTATGAAAATATTTTAGAAGTAGAATAAAAATTAATTATTATTTTTAAAATATTAGTCAAAATATACCAAAAATATCTTAAAATACCTCAAAATATACTAAATGCATTCATGAAAATATGTCAAATATCTCAAAACACATCAAAATATTCATAACATTTGAAATTTCACTTCAATTATTATTTTGTTTTGATTTTTTTGACATATATATTTAATAGTTTAATTGAATGAATATAAATATGGTAAACTTAGTAGTCGAAAATAAAATGATTAAATGAGATAAGAAAAGAGATTTAAGGGGTGGGGATTGCCCCACCCGATAATCCATAGTTTGTCCCAGTTAAAATTGAAATTTTCATAACACAGGGATTGTCCCAAGACAGAATATTCAACATATTTCTTCCTGGGGGTAAAGCTTTGGACCTGACGATGAATTGAATCTTTGTATTTTAATGAATGATTTGGAGGTAAAAAAACTCGAAATCAACCTTGTACACTATGAGCCGAAAAGGAAGCAGAAAAGGAAGGATGACCAATCAAACAACAAAGATATGCTTAGACCTACATCGGCATATAGGAACACCAAAATTCAATGCCACATTTAAGTACCTTCTATTTATGCCATCCCACGAACCAATTCGCTAGCCACCAACATCATTTTTTCATATCTTGTCGATCTTGTCAAGCTTCATAACCGATTGGCCTTGCAATGGCATCCTTGAGCAGCAGTCTTGAAATCAAAAACATGATTATACTTATCAGAGTACCGATGGACTGAACAGAAAAATTTGTCCACATCGACACTTCGCCCCGTGAGTCCCATCTTTTTCACACTTTGATCATGTTATTATTTTCTTCGATTATCGAATCAACTATGAATTGCTTCGAACAGTAGTCTTTGTAGCATTTAGCATAAAGTATCGGAAAATTGTCTCTGGCCTCGCTACTTACCAAGGTGAAGGAGAGTTCTGGGGATGTGGCCGATGGTGGAGGGTGTAGCGTGGAAGATGATGAGCTCATACTGAGACTAGAATTATATTGGGATGGAGCTTCTGTTGGGTGGAGGGTTAGGCAGTTGTTATGGGCTGGATAAGCTTGTGGAGGCCCACTATACGGCCCATTTAAGGGCTACTTGCCCTACTCTTTATTGTGTCCCTCAGTTGGGTCAGTGGATGACAGGCCTACCATGACCCCCGGTCCACTGCCATCCCTACTTGGGTGACAGGCCTGCTATGACCGTGTTGACGGCTCAGCCCAAAACATGTTCTTGCTTCTTAATTTTAATCAAGGGTTTTTTTGAAGGCCGATGCTCAATATAACACTTAATTGTATAAAAGTGCTTAGTAACAAAAAAATTGTACATAAGTCCCTTATTTTTGTGAATGACAAAAATACCCACAAACTAATACTAACCACAAACTAATATAAGCAATGCTATAAAATTCAAATAAAATCTAAAAAGTTACAACCCAAATACATATCATCTATTAGATGAGTGAGTCTCATTCACTAAAAAAAGAGTAATGCTACATGAACTTAAAAATTAGACTTGATAATTATAACCATTGATTTTACTGTGAGTCCCAACATTTATTAGAACCTGCTAACTATTCAATGGTTGCGATTATCAAGTCTAGTTTTTAACTCTAACTTTTAAGTTTATGTACTTTACTCATAAAAATATGGGCAACTAATCCCCATTTGGAAACAACTAGAAGTCATGCACCAATCGCATTAAATCTGACAACTAATATATCACTAAAAACATGGGTTTTAAAATTTAAACAAAATCTGCCACAAAAAAATGCCATAAAATTCATGAGATTTTAACCAAATCAAAAACACAAACAACCGAAAATGGTGAGGATAAAAAAATCTTTTGTCTTGTGTAACAAAACATAGTCTTTTTAAGGAGCACGGTAATAACGAGAACAAATATATGAGATATTTGCCTCCCCTTTAACCTGTTGTAGTAATGAATTTATTATGCAGTATAGAAAAAGAACTTGAAAGTAGCCAGATCCGGAATGAAATAAAGAAGGAGAAACCAAATACCAAAGAACATATAAGCCTCAACAACGTGATTTGCAAGAGATAGATATACTATCAACTAATTCATCAATTTGGCAGCTTAAGGGAGAGATTCAGCTCTCCAATCAGAAATATGCCAACAAACATAATTTAAGGAATATCGAGTTCTAAGAATAAGTCATGTCCAAGGAGATACCACATACCAGAGCTTTCCCACTTCCAAAATCACAGAGTTTGAGCTGATGAGTGTGAGGATTAACCTGCAACAACAGATTGTATTGGTCAATAACAGTCAATCATAATATGGGAAGTGACTTGAGCTTTTAAATACAAACCAGTAGGTTTTGTGGCTTTATGTCCCTGTGGCAGACTCCTATACCATGAATATATGCCAAAGCTCTAAAAATCTACCAAATTCAACAGTCACCATAAAACACAACAGTCATCATAGGATGTGAATGAAGGTTGACAACATATCCTCTTCATCACTACCTAATACATCATACTGCAATAGAACTTAAACTCTCAGAATTTGTACGACAAATGTCATATCACGTATAATAGATACTTCTCAGTGCTAGGTTCTATTCAAACAACTCAAATTGTGCAAGGAAAGAAACCGAAACACCATAAAACCAAAAGCTGCATGTTACTAGACACATATATAACAATTTAGAGGAACTAAATCCCTCAACTCGAACTCAACTCAACAAAGCCTTGTCCCAACAAACATAATCAACATCATGTCTTTGACTATGAAAGTTAATCTAAATGAAAAAGTGCAAATAATATTTTTGGAAAAAGCTCGAGATATACAAATAAGTAATAATATTGAAATGCATAAGGGCAGATGCTAAACACCTTAAGTTGTTACTCGTGGATCAGACTTTGAACAAAATGCCACTTCAGAAAATGGTGAAAATATAGATCTACTTGATGCTAAATGTCAGACCTGATATATGTAGAGTTTGACATATATCATGGGCATTCACTGATTTGCCTTGCTGTAGTGTATTGATACCCGATAAACAGTCTCAGGAACATATTCTAGAACCAAATTGAGATAGAGTTCATCTTTGTCTGTAGTTGAAAAGAAGCAGTGCTTGAGTGGGGCTACATTGGGGTGATCAAGAAGGCGCATTGTTTGCAATTCACGGTTCTTATATCTCTTATCCTGCAAGAGCTTCTTGATTGCAACAGTTTCCCCAGTTTCCAGGCACTTGGCCTGCAAAACAACTTGCTTTTAACAAAGGGTTGAATCTACTGCTGTAAATGGTGCTTCACATGATAGCCTTATTAAAGGAAACTAAATTATCAGCTATATTGATGGTTCAGAAAAATGTATGTAAAGTATCACCTGAAATACAATTCCAAATTAACCCTGCCCAACAATGCGCTCTGCCATATGGCTTATCGCCTGATTACAAATGGAAAACATATATTATTTGTCAAGAAGTTGTACACTGTCAAGTAGAAAAATTATATTTTCCAAGCAAAGTATGTGCTTTATCAATAATGTTGAATGTATATATGTGCATATATGACGTACATTTAACAGGTAATCAGGGGAAAAAAACTTGAGACAGATGACAATGGATGGCAGATGAGACTGAACAGCAGACTACAAGCTTTTATGGAATCTCTACAAAAGTATAGTACATGTTCTAGCTATTTACAAGCTGGGCGTGCTTCTCATGTGCAATATCATTCAACAAGTGAGTTGAATCCAAGAAAGATTGTTACTGGAAGTTCATTATTTGCACATTACAAGTTCCTGTTAACGACTAACACTAATCATGGTGTCATAGCTATTGATTCGATGAACAAATGTTAGAAGCTGTGGAAGCCTGAAACAAAGGAAATGGGCCCGCAACAATCAATAAGACTTTTGATCCAAAATGTCTGTGCCATTGTAATTTTGACATTAGTACACTTGGTTGGACATGAGCAGTAGTTAAGGTCCAAGAATCTAAACATGGGTCCAATAGTGTTATTGGGTCCTCCTATGAAGGGCCAGAGAAACTTAAGGAACACCTAAGTCGTAGTAAAAGGGTGAGAACTTAAGAAAATCATAAATAGGTGAAGTAGTCCCTGTATTTCAGTTTTTTTCTTCAACTATAATTTTTAGTATTGATTTAGTAAGACATGTCGACATTCGATAAGATCATTGTTAATCAAATAATTACAATACACGAAATCCTTACTTTAAATTCCCATGTCAAATGCAAATGGTATTAATGCATGTAATTATGAATCAGGGGCGGAGCCACTATTGGACTATTCAATTTTTTTTTCTTTTTTATATTAGACATGTATTTTTTGAAATAAAATTTAAATATATTTAATTGTGTTTTGATGATATCAATTTGAATAGACCCTTATCTAAATGATTGTTAATTTTTTGAACAATGTTATTGAAACCTAATTTAATGACTTAATGCATTGTGATATTAAGTTTAATAATGAGCCTTAATATTTAATAAACTCATCTATCTATCCAGTTGTCACAAACCATTAAGTCTCCACAAATTAAATTTCAAATTAGGTCCAATTAATATTATTGTTAACTTTTAGACGCGTTTTAAACATGTCCGAATATGTTTTGAACATATTGAGATTATTTTATAATTTTTTTTTAAAATTGTAGGGTTATTTCGTTATTATATAAAAATGTGTGTCGTTATGTAGTAAACCATATGATCATAAATAAAAAATTGTTACCACAATTTTATGTATAAAAGAAATATTATTGATAAAATTGATTTGTAACTCTTCTAAATAATAAAACACACCGGGGTCAATTATAATCGATAATAATAAGTCGTATTCTCGATAAAAAAAATTTAATTAATTATTTTGTTCATGTTATATATATGAATTTTTATTCTCTTATATACGTGTCCACCGTAAAAAAATTTCCTACCTCCTCCCCTATTATGAATTATGGAGCACAATCATTTTCTCTTTAGGCAACTTTCTTGATGTAACAAAGACAAAGACGAAGCTAAATTAGTATCACCACATTTTACTTTTCCCCTTAAGAAATTAAGGTGCATAATATTATATATTTACTATCAATAATCCCATGTTTGAAAACAGAGACCCATGTTGAGGCCCCCCAAAGTTTTCCTCTGTTCAGTCCGGTCGATACCGGGATCCATAAGATCCACACACTTTCCTTTTAAAAAGAGCAATCAAGCCATTAAACGAATGGCCAAAAACACAAAAGACTGACTGACTGATAGAGTGATGACAAAAAAGTATAGTTTAAGGCTGAAACCTATCAAATTTCTTGCTGACAAAGTAGGGTTCATGATTTTTTGGTGCCTCTAAAGTTCTAAATTACATTATATCTGAGTTAACTCTCTCTCTTTCTTTTAAAATGATATTTTGCTTAATTGATAATTCCTTACAGTAAGTAATTGAATGCTCTTCCTTTATTTGTAGAAGTCTGTTTTCTCTTTATGAATGCCTTTTTACATGTAATTGAACAAGTTTAAACCAACTTTTCTAGTTTTATTAAAAATTACTAAAATCGTAATATATTACGTGAAAGTTGATTTTTTTATAAAACAAAGAAAACAATTGACATTTCACGGTAATTTATTGAACCACCCATATAATAAAAGTCACAAAAAATTAAATAAACAAAAATAAAATAAAGAAGGTAGAGGAGTGCGCATATTATACCATTGGGATCATGTAATGAAAATGATGTTTTTAAATAAAAAATGAAATTTTAGGCTAAATTTTCTACAATTGAGATTCAATCTATGGCCGGTGAGTGCACATATTATATACGCGGTGATGTTATTTTTTAGTGTAGGTGAGGGCAAACATTATAAATATATATGGGTTAGATGTGAGATGTTATTTTGTAGAACAAGTGAGTATCTATAATATAAAACAGGGCAAGCTTCATACCGGGATTTGATAGTTTCAAACAGACTAATTCAATGGCCACCAATATCCTTCCTAAAATCATTCACATTGCATATGTATACTATCGAAATTTGGATTCTGACTATAATCTTTGAGACATATGGATCCACAGTGCACAAAAAGTAGTCTACGAAGGTGGTGTGGAAGAAAGGGCAACACATAAAATAAAACAAACATATATACTTTTGCAAAAGAATAGAAAAGAGATAGTTACTAGCATCATAATAATATATTATGTGAAAGTTGATTTTTAATAAATTTTATAAAACAAAAAAAAAAAATAATTGACATTTTACTTTGAACTTTCCGTATAATAAAAGTCACAATAGCTCGTTCTATTTGGTCAATTGTCCTCTTTCATGATAAAATCTTGATTTCGTTTCTATTCGAAGATATTCTGTAATATTAAAAATTGAATATTAATCGTATAATATTTATATTTTAAACATCATATTTGTAATCATATAATTTAAAATTAAAGCAAACAGAGAAAAGAAAAAAGACGGGGAGGCAGAGGAGAGAGAAATCTTGAGATAATTTTTAGAACACACGTCATTAATCATTTGTTATTTGCAAACGCATACTTTCGAGTAGGAAAGTTATTACGCGTATGTATATACTAGTAATAACTTTATTTTTGAAGACACTTTATAATAGTACAAATTGATTATTGATCATATAACATTTAAAATTTATTTTGTATTTTATTTTTTTATTTATATAATTTAACATTAAATAAATAAAAAATAAAAAAGCTTAGGGGAGTGTGCATATTATACCACTAGTCATTAATCGTGCCTGAAAGCACACATAAAGAAATGACAAGTAATTATTCAGCTTGAAAAAGAAAATGACCCAAAAATATTCATATCAATTCTTTTAAAATGATCTAAAATATACTGTCGACCATATCCTCCATATTAATAGAACTATTACAAAAATGTACAAAAAACTCCCAAGAACTACACCACATATACAAATATCTCGGGAAAAAATATTAACATAATCTAATAAAATTTATAATTTTTAAGTAATAAATAAAATTTTGCTTATTTGTAAGACATATGAATTTATCACTATTGTCATCATTTAACCAATAACACAACATAATTATAAACTCAATCACTTGTTATTTTTTATTGGTGATTAGATTAACTTTGAATTTTTTTATTTTTTAGGTGCAATTGGTATCACTTGTTATTTTTTTTATTAGTGATTACCTTGCTTTGAATATTTTTATTTTTTAGTGCAATTGGTTTCACTTGTTTTATTTATTTATTAGTGATTAACTTGACTTTGAATATCTACAACTTGGGAAAAAAAAATTAGTATTCAAATATTTTCTGATTCTATAAAATTACACAATATTTGGCTTTGTTATTTTTTTTATTGGTGATTAGCTTAGGTTTGAATGTCTACAACTTAGAAAAAAAAATTTATACTTGGTTTTGAACATTGTTTTTTTGGTGCCATTACTTTCACTTTTTTTTTTTATTGGTCATTGTTATTTTTTTATTGGTAATTAGCTTGACTTTGATTTTTTTTTTTGGTGCAATTGGTATTACTTGTTATTTTTTATTGGTAATTAGTTTGTCTTTCAATGTCTACAACTTGAGAATTTTTTTTTATCATTTAAATATTTTCTCATCTCTAAAATTGTACAATTGTTTGAGTTAAAAAGTACTAAAAATAGCAATAACACATTTAATACATAACATTTGACAATAATAAAATCATGTCAAAGTTACAAATATTGAGTAAAGAAGCACTAAAAATAACAATACATATTTAACGCATAACATTGAACAATAATAAAATCGTGTCAAAGCATCCACAATTAAACCAACAAAAACATTAATTAAAAAAAAATATTTAATGACAAATTTGTAGTACGAATTAAAAAGAACAAATTCATTACTACTTACTTGGTAAAGTAGAAAATTCAAAGAGATATGAGATAGAGACAGAGATAGAGATAGAATAAGGAGAGGGGAGAGTATGTGTTTAAAACGTCTCAAAGATAGGAGATAAACAATCTAGCTCCCTATATGTATGAGAGTTGGGTAAGATAGAGAGGGAGAAAGGGGAGCAGATAGTGTGTTTAAAATAGATATGAAATAGAGAGAAAGAGTTATATGAGAGATGTGAGAGTGTATGTTTAAAACAAACGTCTAATTTAAAACATCTAAGAGCAAGAGAGGAGATACAGAGAGAGAGAGAGAGTTATACAAGACATATAGTGTCTGTTTAAAGATATAAAAGATAGAAAGAGAAAGAGAGAGGAGATGTGAGAATGTGTTTAAAACGTCTAACAAATAAGATAGAGAGAGAGGGGGAGAGAGGAGATAGAGAGTTATGTGAGAGATGGAGGTGTTAGTGTTTAGTTCAATTAGGATCGTCGAATTAATAATCTTCAATCGACTGAGCCGCAAAAAATTTAAGACAAACAATATACTTATTTTA